TGACTGGCATCGCTCCGATTCGGCTCTCGCGCACTCCACACCTCCGCCAAAAGGTTTTGATCAGAGTAACCAGTGCGAGAGACTCGAGAATGGAGGAGCAGAGAGAGGCAAAACTACTGACCTGTTCAGGACTTAAAGTGCAGGTCAGTTTCATTTGTAAATAGGCTACTGTAGTTTTGTCTTTGTTCACGTAGTTAAAGGCACAATATGTAAGAATTTTTTATTAAAATATCCAAAAACCACTAGAACAGTGTTATATATTTTTGCTGACTTGTGTACGTACGTACATTATCCCAAATGTTTCAAAGAATGTTTAAATCCAGAGAAATAAGACATTTTAACTAGTGACACGGATCGTGTCCATAGTGTCATTGTGTCGCCTGCCAATGACGTCATAACCCCTCGATTTCCGGTTTTGTTTTGTAGAAAACATGGAAACACCAAAGACGCTTTAATATGTTGTGCGTTTTAATAGACCGGTGCCGACCGCACAGAGTAGCATTATAACAGAACTTTCAAATGTATCTAGTATGATAAAACAGCGCTGCTTTTTTCCCCCCCACCGATGACCGGAAGGAGCGGAAGCGGTTGACTGTGGCATAATAAAAGCTCCACTGCTTTCGAGCCGTGTGTCACGCTCATTCAGCGGCCTCGTTTCGCTTCGACACAGTTTCTGGGCTCATGACAGGCAGGGTTAAGTGTACAGAGGTGGGTTCTTGGGCTGTGACAGACAGGGCTGAAAGTTCCGTGTTGGTCTCCTTGAGAGTGGCTGGACAGACAGACCGTTCAAGATTGGGTGCATTAACAAAGACTGGTTGGGTTGACAGTAAATAAACAGGATCACTGACTGAAACTGGATGGGCAGACAGTTCAAAAACAGACTCATGGGTTGATATGGGATAGACTGACAGTTCAAAAGTGGGTGTGTTAACTGAAACTGGACTGGTAGATATTTCAGTGACTGAAACTGGACAAACAGATGGTGTATCAGACATATTATTTGAAATTAGTGGACAGACAGGTAATTCAGAAACAAATTCATTAGCAGCCCTTACAGCCTCCATGGCTGATTCAGAACAACCTCTGGAAACATCATAGTAGGCGCCGCTGTTTCAAGAGTCTCAGTGGTGGTGTATGCAACCCAAACACTCCATACAGACAGGGGAATTGGATCAGGAACAGGAGGGCTAGAGTGAATGGATTTGAGGATACCAGCTGCGACTGCTGACACCAGCGGTGAATCCTCCACGCTGGATGCCAGTCCAGCTGTGACGTGACGTGACTCTGGACGATCAGCTGTGACGTGATGTGACTCTGGACGATCAGCTGTGATGTGACATGACTCTGGAATATCAGCTGAGACATGATGTGACTCTGGATGATCAGCTGTGATGTGATTTGACTCAGAATGATCAGCAATGACTTGACTTGACTCATGACGATCAACTGTGACTCGACTTGCCTCATGATGATCAGCAATGACTTGACTTGACTCATGACGATCAACTGTGACTCGACTTGCCTCATGATGATCAGTGATGACTTGACTTGACTCAGAATGATCAGCTGTGACTTGACTTGGCTCACGAAGATCAGTTGTGACTTC